TAACAAAGTAAATTTTATACTCTTACAGCTTACGCAACATGGAATTCTATTTACGCTACGTAGTATAAGAACTAAAACTCGACGAATTACTTTTTAAATATTTTAAAACACCAAAAGATATACAATTTCAATATAAAATGGCGTTTATGCGAGATTATATTTTTTTAAGGGGAAACCCGTGCGGCAGACATGGCTTAAAATTTCAAATATTGATTTGTTAAAAGTTAAGCAAATTATTTATTTTTGTAAACAAAAACAAATAAATTTTATAAATTCTCAATAAATTTTTAAAATCGTTTCCTTTTAATTTATCATATTACTATATAACAAAATCAAAATATTTTGAAATTCGAAATTAAAGCAATATTGGTGGTTTTTTTTCCGATTATTATTTTTTTCAAAAAGATTACCAAATTTATAGATATAAATATTGATGTATAATAAATTCAAAATATCGTGCGCATGTGTTTCCTGTATGAAATGATGTACTAAAATTTTAATTCCAGTATCAACTGGGACGTTTATGGAAGAAAAGACATATCACAAAAAATATGTACATACATTGATTTCTAAGTCAATTGGTTTTTTGTTTTTTGTTTTTTGTTTTATTTTTTCAAATAATCGGAAAAAAAAAAGATGAAATGGAGAAGGTAAAAATCTGATTTCATTTTTTTTTGTTAAAAAATCAAACTACAACCTAAAACAATTAGTCACCCTTAAAAAAAATATAGTAAAAAAAAAAATTGTTCTTTAAGGTAGCTTTATTTTTGGGAAACAAAAGTAACAAATGCCATAATTTAAGGGCAGCATTTAATGTTGCCCTATTTTAGGAAAATAAAAATAAAAAAGTTACTAAAAATAGTAGGTAATTAATGCTGGCCAAAATTTGACCTACTATTTTAAAAAAATGGTAATTCTTTTTATATATATATATATAAATTTTAAAAATAAGTTCGGGTCGAAAAACGGGCTTCTAAACACAAAATTTTGCTAAAAAACCGAACTGGGCTGCATCTGTCGGCCTGGCTTCCAATAAAATTGGGCCACAACAAGCAATTGGGCCGCATCTAAGGCTTGCAGGACACGGGCCGGGATAGGGCCACCCGCGGGCCAATGGCTGAGAGGGAACTCGGGCCGCGCGGGCCGAAATGCGGGCCAAGAAGCCCACACTGCTGAAATTGGTTACATATAAAAGAAAAAGACGAGAAATAAGGGCTGGGGGATTCGAACCCTGCCCCTCATACATAGATGTCAACGGCGCAACCACTGCACCACACGCAAAGATGAGATCTAATTTAAGACTTGAATTACATAATGAAAACTAAAGCCTGGGACCTGATAAAAGAATAGAGCTGCAATCTCTCGAGCAGATTGACAGAAATTTCAGGCTATAGGTTTCAACAGCAACATTTCACAGAATTTTACCCAAAATATAATGACCCTTCCAGAGTTCAAAAACTTTACGAAAAAGGGGTTTGCTTGGAACAGGAAATGACACCTAACGGTTAGAAAACAACCAAACAACATAACGACTACGACACGGCTCCAATCAATAAAACGGGACTCTGAAATTAAACAAATTTGCCAAAGTAATAGCTTCAAGACAATTCTCTCTCTGAGAGCCCCGATTCTCTCTCTGAGAGCTTTGATTTTACGGTCATTTTCTCCGATCATTACCCGATTTCTATACCTTCCTTCATTCCCATTTCATCTGTTGTGGTTTCTCACTTTATCCCCTCCCATTTCGACCTTTATTTTCCCGTTCCCATTTGTCAATCGATCTAGGGTTTCTCTGAATTTGATTCTCATGGACTGAACCCAATCCTCAGCTTGCGATGATGAACTCTCCGATCGACTCAAGATCTTCTCACTATCTGAAAGAGAAAGCATCGTCTACGACATTGCCCAAAACGATATCAAACTAAGTGATGATGAGTGCCACATGAGTCTTTTTGGCAAGGTCATTGGAGATAGGCCGGCTAGTTGGATAGGGGTCAAAAGAACTATGTCTCAGATATGGAAGCTTAGTCATCCCATGGAGGTTAAGGAATTGAGTCCCAACTAATTTCAGTTCATATTTCAGAGTAGGGAGGACATGAAGAAGGTACCTTATGGCACAAACTGGAGCTTTGAGAATCAATACATAATTCTCAAAGAATGGACAACAAATATTAGCAGCAATCATCCCAGCTTCAAGGAACTTGACCTGTGGGTTCAAATCCAGGACATTCCACTAAACTGGCTGAGTACAGAAGTTGGATTAAAGATAGGGCAGGCATTTAAAGAGCTCAAAAATGTAGTCATAGCTACAACAGGCAACCATGGAGGTAAGACTCTGAGGCTTCTGGTCACGTTGGATGTAGATGAGACTCTACCGAGAATAGCAAAAGTCAGACTGAGAGAGCAAATAGTTACTGTAAGTTTCAAGTATGAGAAGCTTATGAACCTGTAACGCCCCGTTTGTTTATGAATAATTATTATTATTATTA